TAGGTTCGTGTTGCAATACCAGAAACGGAGTATGAAGTACTTAGAGTTTGGTTTACTGGAGAGCTAACGAATTCTTGGCATCTGATTGGATTATCATTCCCCAGATTTCTTTATTTGTGCACTATATGAGGTATTGATATTTTGCAATAAAAATAAAAATAAAACCCGCTATAGCATTGTTTATGATAATATGGTTAAATTGCCTTGTCTGGTCATTTATTTAAACATATGACATTACTATTTATTGCCGTGGCTTTTATATTTACTAAATTTAATACCTCGTTTTTACTTGTTATCATAAAATGATTACGTACAAATAATTATTATATACAGGTTTTATGCCTATATGGGACTCATGGACAAAATCGAAAAAAAAACGATAAAAAAAAAAGGTGAATATAGTATAATCTGCCAAAAGTTGAGGTTTTTGTAAACAAATATGTAATAATGCATATCTAGTGCTGATACCTGAATTTTCCTGAACTATGTGGTTTGAACTAATTTTAGCCATTACAGCATAAATTCAAGATTTTGCGCGTCCCATAACGATAACCAATCAAATGACAAAATCTACTGAAAGAGCAATAATAAAAAAAAAAAAAAACGCATTTTTATCATGCACTATAATCGAGGCAAAAACAGTTAAAAATATACAAGATATAAATGTGGTAATATCTGATGCATATTGTGATGTTTAGTTGCAGAAATTCATGTCTTTACTCCTTTCCTGATACGTAGATCTCTTAAACAAATTGCTGATTATGTTGTAAAATTAAATAAAAGCTAATTTTTGGAATAGAATTAATAATATTTGAATTTTTAATTAAATCAAGTCTGTATTAAAAAAGTTGTGCATAAACGAAAAAAAATTACTAGACTAACAAACATTAACATAATCTAATCGATAAGATGCAAGCACAAATGCATTAACATGATATCTATTGCTAAGATTATAACATATATAAATTATTCTGCAGATTAAATCAGTACAACTTAAATGATTGAAATGTATTTTTATGCTTTTCAAATGACGTGTTTCGATATGGCCTGTACAGCTTAACTTGAATTCAGATTGTCTGATAAGGTTTATTTGGTCGAAATCTAACATAAACTTTAATAACAGCATGTAAATAAACAACCGATTAAATTATTATTAAAAGCGACCAAAAGAAAAATCTACCTGTAACAGTTTTTATAAACCAGCTTAATACACCCACAAAAATCACCGGACTTAATGAATTAAACCAATTTTTTATATGCAAATCAACTTTTGTGCAATATATCGATCAGACGTGATTGTTCAAGATCTCATTTTATCAACAAAATTTTTCACCATGACTAGGGTACTATAGATGAGTCGTTATTATATAGATTTAAAAACTGCGATGTTGGAATTTTGATTTAAATGCCGCTACGAAAGATGGTTTACCACTATTGTCAAAATCGTCTCTAATAAAGTTGGTGGAACATTTGCCTAACTCGATCCCGACTGCTTATAAGAAAATATAGTCGAAATTATAATCTTGCAAAATTTCAGAAGGCTTATTTACGAAAAAAACCTTTTTGTCTACATTCGGTTCACTTCTTTTACTGTAAACAATATAAAAACTCCGTCATGCTGTACAGTGCAGGAATTATAAAAACTGCAATCGCTATATCTGTACTTATATAAATAGAGATATTGAATTTTTAAATTCCTTGCACCGTACATGGAGATTGTACATTTTTTATCATATGGCTATAATAAATTACCCGGATAATCGGGTGATTTAATAATATACGGGTAGAGATTTCCTTGACGAGCACAATCTCTAACCGTACATAACTAATTCTCCGTAACGGCAGCACATTATTATTTAAAATTAGAATTATGGCCGACGACATTAATTCGAAGGATAGTGCGCAAATTGCAAACAATATAACACATCACTAGCTTGGAATCGAGCATGTGACTTTCAAAAAACAGTACAAGGATGGACAAGTGGAAATAAGATGTCGATGATTGTATTAAAGGATTTCAACTTAAAACTACTAGGTGCTTATAATAAATTATTAAAAAATGCAAACTTTAAGAGGCTATATTGCAAAATTTTACTAATACAACTACTACTTTTGTGTCTTAAGTGAAAAATAATTCCAATCTTATTCTAAATTGATTTAAGAATAAATATCTTTTGAAAAATTGTCATTTTCATTCCTTTTCTCAGCACCTAATCCATATTATGCTTACCAGAATAGTGCGTAAGTTCAGTAACAGAATTTTGCTTATATTAATTCGTGATAAAAATATGATAATAATCAGAATAGTGAGTAGGTATTATAACAGAATTTTTTCAATAATTCATGAATAAAGCAAGCTATTTTCAATACAAACTAACTCATTTAATCATTATTATAACACCAGTATAGTGAACAGTTTTGTTACAGAATTCTTTAGTAACTCTTGCTAGAAATTATGACAATTCCAATGCAAAACAACTCACTTTAACACTGAATTAATGAATAACTTCCTATAATAAAACTATTTACAGTGACTCATAAAAGAATGCATAACAATCCCAATGCAACCAACCATATATTGTGGTCATCAAAATGGTGAGTAAGAAATATTCAAGGCAAGTCACAATAGAAATCGTGGCAAACTAACTCAGATTTAACTACATGCTATGGTCACTGGAGTAGTGAGTAGATTTTGTAACAGAATTTTGTTTATAATAATTCACGATAAAACTTATTATAAACTCATTTAAGCAAATAATAAGTTATGTAACAGAATTTTTTCAATAACTTATGTTAATCTCAATACAAACTAACACACCTTAAGCATTTATTGTAGTTAAAAGAATAAATAAAATTACATTATCCGACAAACTCATATGATCATGAAAAACTTTCTTTCTGTTATTTTTTTTCATCTGTTACGATGTAATTATATTTTTCCAATATTCAAAAAAAAAACTCAGCAATTGTCGGATAACGTCATTATTGGGCAAATTTGTGAATACGGCAATTTGGCTCAACCGAACAAATGATTGTCTGACACGTGACGCTTCGCGGCACGTGTCGGCACTTGTCAGCCAATCATTTGCCCGGTTGAGCCAAATTGCCGTTATTCACAAATTTTTGCCCAATAATGTATACATACCGCAAACTGACAAACTTAATCACATGAGGTAATCATTGTATCGTACTAGTGGTGAATAAATGATGAACAAATAATATAATATGGAATATGGGACAATATAGAATAGTTAATTAGAAGTAAAATAAATTAAACAAAAATTAAGTCAAGAAGTAGTTAATTGTGATAAAAAGATTAATAATAAAACTTTAGATGTCAGGGTTGGCAATGGAGCCAATGAAGTTAAATGATTACATGAATGGAGCTCAAAAAACTAGTATCCATTGGCTCCATTTAGATCTCCATTGGCTCTCCATTGGGCTCCATTGGCTCTCCATTCGACTCCATTAAGCTCCGTTGCCATCCCTGCCTGAATTGTATAAAAATCTTGTCTAAAAATTTGTACTAATATAACATTACAACATAACAAACAATGTGTAAAAACTACAAAAAAAAACCCCCAAAACAACTTTTCATCACTATTAATACAAAGTTTCCTATAAATATTAAATAAATGAAATTTGAGAATTGCACTAAAATTACATTATAATTAACACATAACAAGTTAGCATCAGTAACATAATTCAATATAGTATAATCTATTCTAACTCCTTTTAAACAATTAAAGCGCTTAGCTGTCACACTAAAATATTGTTAGTCAAAATTGTTTCAAGCTATGTACGTACAGTGTTGTCACTGGAAAACCACTAGAACTTTAAGTTCCAGCAACACTTAATTTTCTTCCAGTGACCTTCTAGTGACGATACTGCTGTACGTGCGTACGTTGTGATGGGGTGACTAATAAGCTTAAACCTAAAATTAATCTATCAAACTATCTAATACACCAGATAGTGTATATTCGGCGACCTCAAGACTCTAAAACCTTGAGTGGTAGGCTTCGAATAGAGGCGTGGAAAGACTTGGTCCGAGTATCAAGGTCTTTCGGGTCTTGGAATGATGTTACTGGTCTTAGATAAATGCTCTGTATCCTTTTGGCTTATTAGTTGCTTCTATTGTATTAAGAACTTCAACTATAATGTCTTGATATACTTGTTTTAGAACGTTTCGGTCTCTTCGGGTCACGTGTTACGTCACTTGGATAACTGCGGCGATCGGTAGTTTAATGTCCAACTCAATCTAAGATCTACGTCATATCGGAAATCTGGGCTCTAATTTAACCGACGTCACGAGATGCTGATGTCACGGGTAATTTGTTGATCAATGCAATTAATATATCCTAATAATACTTCGATCACTAATTTAATTGTTATACAAATTAGTAGTGTTGTAAGTCGATAAGCAGCTAGTCAACTAAGTCGATTTAGCTGACCCCTGATCGACTAAGTCGGCTATCCGACTTGGTTATAATATTATTGGCCAAATTCAGCTATTGTTTCTTTTATAGTTTTTTATTGGATAATTTGCTAGAAATAGCGTCTTGAATTATCGTTAAAGTCTTGTAATAAAGTCTTGTAATAAAAATCTTGTACTGTAATTAACATCTTGTAATAAAAATTATACAAAATTTTCAAAGTTAAATATGAATAATTCTTTAAATAATGATGAAAGTAAACAATCATCGACACCTACTACCAGTGATGTGCCATTTATATGATACTCGGATTTTTTTAGCGTACAGTACGTACAGTACGTACAGTTCGTACAGTACGTATAGTACGTATAGTAAATTTTTTTTTATGCCGTAATTTCGGAATATTCCGTAATAGTTTCGGAATATTTAGGAACTTGTAAGTTTTATGGGCCTAAACTTCAGAGCTTATAAAATGACTGTCAAAATTTTAGCGTACAGTACGTACAGTACGTACAGTACAGTACGTATAGTACAGTACGTGGCACACCACTACCTACTACACCCCATATGAATGTTATTCCAGCTAATCAAAATGTAGAAAGCTGGGTTTGGTTATTCGTTAATAAAAAAACTCAAAGGTGTCAAGTTCAAATTGAAGATAATGGTATTAAAATTCAATGCCCGTGGTCTTGTCGAGAAAAAACTGATACAACAAATATTGCTAGTCATTTAAGAGCCAAACATCGAATTATTGAAGGAAAAAAAGAAGTTGAAATAAGCTCAACAACATATAAGACTTATAAGAATTATTCACTTGATCAAAATAAGATTGAAAGAATTACACATCATTTGATAGATTGGTTAATAGATGATATGCAGGCTTTTCATGTAGTAGAAAATCATAAATTTCAAAATTTCGTTCATGAACTTGAAACATTTTATTCAATTCCATGCAGAAATTCTTTATATAAAAAAATGAGTGAAGCCATTAGTACAGTTGAGCAAGATTTAAGTAAATTAATGAATAAATTCTATAGAAACTTTTTTCTTTACAACTGATTTGTGGACTCAAGACCATAAACCTTAGGCCGCCAACCAAATTTTTCAAAAATTCAGATTTTTTTTTTTTATAGCATTAAATTGGTTTAAAACAAGAATAACAATGTTTATTTTAATAGTTTTAACGAATATAAACCAAAAAAGATCATACACATTTAATTGGAATACTAAATT